ATACTCGTGAAAATGCCCAGATACTGAAGGCTGATACCGTCCCTTAACATTTTTAAACAATTTCGGCTGCCTGAGCTCATGCACTTGCTGGGGACCTCAGGCAGCCTGCCGGGGACCTTGGGCAGCTGTCTTTGACAGTGACCGTCCTGCCCCACATCTTCTCCTCCTCCTTTGCAGTGCTTGCAGAGACAGGCACAGCAAAGGACAGCCCTACACTGCCGTACAGCCCTGGAGCCCAGCACCCATTTGCAGAGCCCATGACGAGTCCCAAACCCACCCGCAGAGCCGAGCATCAACCCGCACTGCCCGGAGAGCCCAGGACCCACATAACAGCCCTGGTGAGATCTACATGCTGCTCTGGTGAGACGCAAACACAGCACCGGTGAGATCTGCATGCAGCCCTGTTGACACCCAAACGCAGCCCTGGGGACACCCAAACACAGCCCTGGGGAGATCTGCACGCAGCCCTGGTGAGACCCAAACACAGCCCTGGTGAGACCCAAACAAAACCCTGTATAATTGCTGTATAATCATGGACTGATGGGATCAATGATTATAAAACAATAGAGAATGGCAACCGGCTATAGAGGACTAGAAATCTCAGTAAACTATGATTGCTGGTGGTCATTCTCCATTGCTGAATAATCATGAATTGCTGAGATTTGTGGTCCTCTATAGCCGGTTGCCATTCTCCATTGCTGAATAATCATGAATTAGTGAGATCTGTGGTCCTCTATAGCCGGTTGCCATTCTCCATTGCTGAATAATCATGAATTGGTGAGATTTGTGGTCCTCTATAGCCAGTCGCCATTCTCCATTGCTGAATAATCATGAATTGGTGAGATTTGTGGTCCTCTATAGCCGGTTGCCATTCTCCATTGCCATGTCCATGCAGTATATAGGATGACATGTTCAATTTATCAACAACAGTGTATACTGAAAACATAATTAAAAGGGCCACATTGCAATGTAACTAGCTACATACACACAATCAGGTAATGTATGTGTGTAATTACCTGCAAATAACGTAACTCTTAGATCATAAAAAGTGTTCCGTCTATGATGATCTGGTATAAAATCAGGCAAAACAGTATGAAAACTATTATGAAAATAATATGATATATAAAATGGGGTAGCAGAAATGTTTTATCTACAGATACACAAAAGATTTGATAGCATAGAGACAGACATTCCTAGGCAGATCTTATTTATATGTAATATAAGTTACCTTTAACCTTCCTGGCGGTAATCCCAAGTTTGGCTCGGGGGTAAATTTTCCATACCAAAAGCGGTAACCCCGAGCCACACTCGGGCATCTTTCGGGTTCCTTCCCCGCGAGCGCCGGCATTGCAGGGGGGCGGAACTGGCGAGAAATTCAAAAGTAAAAAAAGAGGAAAAAAAGAAAAAATACTGAGATAACCATACAGCCAGGGAGGTTGTAAGCATTGATATTAACGCCTTAAAACAAACAAGTGGCTTTAGCAAAGCTACAAACCCTTCACATACTTTGTAGAGAATGCTTTCTGTCAGCACCCCAAAGACCGGGACATCTAGGTATTTATATACTGTAGAAATCACTAACTGTGATCACAAGCTCTACTTCCCTCCTCCTACCTTCAGAGGCTTACTAATGGCCCATTAAATCAATGAGCAGATTAAATAGCCAATAGTTAGACTCAGGAGGTGGAAGTTAATTGGTGACTACAAAAGCTGGTTGTAAATAATGTGTTCTGGTATTTAGAAATGATTTGGGGCTATAAACTGTAAACATATTTTAACACACTTTCAGATACCGGGAATAGTTTACTCTACAGGCTAAGTGACAGAATTATACAATTACTAAGGGAATAGGTTTGCTTTTGGGCACAGGGGTGTGACAATTAGGGATGGTCCGCCAGTTCGATTCCAACATGTTCGACCGTGCAACGTCCAATACTGCAAAGAGCCCTCTGAAGCTCTAATTGGTTAAAGACCACAGGTCAGGCGCAAGACTTTGCCCAATCAGGGCTCAGTACTCATTTGGAGCCATGATTGGGCAAAGTAATAATGACTCTGCCCAATCATGTCTTGCCTATCAGATGCCGGCAAACTACACAATTGGGCGGAGCTAGCTGTCAATTAGCCCAATTGTTTATGTTTTGCCAGCATCTGTCAAAATGCCATAATGCGGCGGGAGTCGGATGGGATGGCGGTCGTCGTTTTTAAAAATTATTTCAATTTATTTTTTATTGTTTTATTTTTTATTTCGTCGTCGTCGTGGACAACGCTGGACGTCGTGATTGACTATGGATTACATCAGTGGATCCATTTTTGGGCTTTTCTTTTTTTTAAACATGTAAAAAAAACTGTCAAAAACATGTTTGTTTTTTTTCAATTAAAGGATTTTATCAAAAGTCTGGACTTTTTAATAACTATTTTATTTAACCCTTTAGTACAAGTACCCCTTACTCATTCACAAGGGAGGGGGGCGGCATCTGGGTGCCCCCTTAATTAAAGGGGTACCCCGATGCAAATAAGCACCCTTGCCCGCAGACCCCCACAACCACTGGGTCAGGGTTGTGGGGACGAGGCCCTTGTCCCCATCGGCATGGGGACAGCCTCCCAGTGCCAAGGGCATGTGGCCTGGTGTGGGAAGGAAGGGGGGGGGGCGCTCACTTTTCCAGCCCAATAAAGGGTCTGGTATTGTTTGGGTGGGGACTGCACACTTTAAGAGTAAAAAAAAAAAATTCATTCATCTTTTTACAAATGTCACTTTTGCTGCAGCAGGTTCTATACATCCCTCAGATCCGCCACTTCACAGGCAGGTTAAGGGGACGCCCCGGGGGTGATATTTGAAGGAATTTTTCATTTTCATTCTTACCCTTTAAGTGATGTTAAAATCACTGCTCCTTTAAAAACTGTATTTTATTTATTTTTCATTGATTCCTGTCCCCGGGGGCAGTACCCAGACCCCCATACACCTTTTTATGGACAATAACTTGCATATCATGTATTCAAACTTTTCGGGCGTTCGGGTGTTTGAATACGAACCGAACAGGGGGTGTTCAGCCCATCACTAGTGACAATGTAGGAACTACAGTGTCCAGGTGGTGTGTGACCAGGAATTACACTAACTGGCTCCTGTCTATTACTAGACATGTGTCCATACGTGGACACCCTAAAGAAATGTGTTCAATCTTTGTCCTCTCAGAGACATGTTTTGTTTTTTGTCTTTTTCTTAGATCTAGTGTGAACAGCCACACATTGCTCTGTTTACATTCTGTGGGGAATGCACTATACTTGAAAATGTTTATTTTACAGCTAAGTATAGCAAAGGTTCCAGCATTTTGGATGTTTTGGAATGTGCTTAAACCAGGTTACTTACTCAACAACCTAAAAAAAACTAATTATTTGCGATTTTTTTAAATTTTACTCCCACACTATACTCAATATTTTCAGTGTCAGTGATGTCAAACCTTTTTGAGCCCGAGTGCCCAAACTGGATCACTAAACCAACTTATGTGTCTCAAAGTGCCAACCCCGCACTTAGACCCGAATACTGATGATTTATTTCAGAAAAACACTTTATACGACCGTCTGAACTGTTTATGTGCATAAACCTTAGAAGAAAAATGCAATACAAGAGGTTTTAGCTACACTACAGAGTGGCATGTACCTTTTTTTCTGTGCTAATGAGTGAAGTGTTCCATTGCAGTGTGCTACTAAGGTACATGTCACGCAGCACACTGCAAGGGAATAGTCTCTCTACAGCTTGGAGTCAGTGGTGGAGCACCAGGGCTCAGTTGCAGCTGTGACCACTATGGCCCTGGTAGTTCTGCCACTGACTCCAACCTGTAGATGAACTAATCTCAGCAATGCATTATACTTCGATGCAGACTACCGCCAACTATAGAGGACTATATATCCCTGCAATACATTATGTAGCAATTCAGAATACAGTTAACTATAGAGGACTATAAATCCCAACAATACATTATACAACAATGCAGAATAACACCAACTATAGAGGACAACAAATCCCAGCAATACATTATACAGCAATGCAGAATAATACCATCAGCTATAAAGGACTAAAAATCCCAGCAATATATTATACAGCAATGCAGAATAATATAAGCTGCATACTCTGTGATGCTCTGGGTTGGTGGCCTGACAGGGTCTCTGGAGGGCTGTGTGGGCTCTCAGATGGGCTGTGCAGCTCTCAGACGAGCTGTATGGGCTCTTGTGGGCTCTGCAGCTTTCAGGGGGCTGTATGTGCTCAGGGGGGCTGTGCGGCTCTGAGGTGGTCTGTACAGGCTCATGCAGGGCTGTGTGGCTCTCCATGGGGCTCTGCAGGCTCTCAGTCGGTCTGTACGCGCTCAGAAGGGCTGTGCGGCTCTCAGTGGGGCTCTCGGGGGAGGGCAGTTGCGGCTCTCTAAATAAAATATGTCCGACCATCCCAGATCGCTTTGCTATGTGATCCGGGTTGGTCACAATCAGGCAGCAGTGGCCTCTAAACAGGCTCTCAGGGGGGCTTTGCAACTTTTAGGGGGGCTGTGTGGCTCTCGTGGGGGGGCTGTGCAGCTCTCCGTGGGGTGGCAGTTGCGGCTCTCTAAATAAAATAAGTCCGACCATCCCGGATCACTTCGGTATGCGATCCGGGCCGGTCACAATCAGGCAGTGGCGGCCTCTAAACAGGTTCTCAGGGGAGGCTGTTTGGCTCTCAAGGGGGCTGTGCGGCTCTCAGGGAGGAGGGCTGTACGGCTGTAGCTATCTAAATAAAATAAGTCTGACCATCCTGGAACGCTTCGGTATGCCATCCGGGCAGGTTACAATCAGGTAGCGCCGGCCTCCAAACAGGCATGTTAGATGGCCGTGTGCTGGGGCCTCTCGTGGTCCTAGCGAGGAGCAAGCAGCTATTTAATATGCCTTTTTAGAGGCCACCGTTGCCTGAATGTGACTGGCCCGGATCGCCTACTGAGGTGATCGGGGAGAGTGGGACTTATTTTCAGAGGTGGCCCCTGAACCTGGGCTCGCGTGCCAGCAGAGAGGGCCCTGTGTGCCCTCTCTGGCACACATGCCATAGATTCGCCACCACTGCTCTATGTTGTCCAAAGTTAAAACCATCACAATATGTAAAAGGACATACTATTTTAAGGTATTGTATTGTTTTAGTATTGTATATACTAAAACTGAATATGGGCCATATGATGACTAGTGGTTAGTGCACCTGTGGTTACGGGCCATGCGGTGACCAGTGATTAGATGCACCTGAAAAGGGATAGCTTAGAAAAATTGGATTGGTTCAAATCCTGAAGAATATAGCATAGTTTAATACTATGTGCAATTATCTTAAGGAAAGAGAATACCCAGACAATGGGCCTGCTTTACTAAAAGGAGATCAATAAAAGCTAGGATAGACCGCTATAGTATGCTTGTATTGTGGTATTGCAGAAGCTAAATAATGTACAGGCTATAATTGAACGTGATTCTTTAACCCATCTAGCAAATAATACACTAATGTTTAATGTGCATGGTGCAGTCTCACATTGCAGTGTGCACAGGACATCCAAATAATGCTGCTTATATGCCTTCTGTTCTTCTTAGGTGAACTAAGAAAAGCATCATGGCATCATGGCCATCACCATTGGTGGATGGTCCAGGCCCTGAGGCTGCCCGCTTCAACCTCAGACACAGCAGACATGCAGAGCTAAGGAAAGCTCCCCTCTTTGGCTCTGAGACTTCCCCTCACTCCACCATGTGACACTACATCTGAGGTCTGGTGAGCACATTTCAGGTATGGGGAAATTTGTGCTGGGGTGATTTTGGCTTAGAGGGGCATGAGGAAGGTAGTGCAAATATCCTAACAGCTGGTGTGGGGATAAGGGCTTAGAGGAAGGAGATTTCAATAGGGGTGGGTTTTTTGGGATGGTTAATGGAAGGTGTGAATTTTGTTTGGGGGGGAATTTTTGCAGGCAACGGCAAGATGAGGGAAATTAGATTTTTTGCTTAGGGGGGATTTGCTTGGGCAGAGGGTTTATTTAACTACAAGGGGAGGATTTTGTTTGGGGATTTTGTGATCAAACTTTTTGCCTGGGGTGGCGAGGAATTGTTGCTTGAGGGTGGCTGAATAGTTTTTTTAAGGAGTTGTCTTAAACTGTACACCCAGTTAGAAGGACTGTACATTACATACAGTATGTCTTAGCGTTGCACTCTGTGCTGTGTGTTAAAGCAGAACTTGTCCCAGTCAAAAAAAAAACTGCGAGCATACTATATGTCTCTTCTGCAGTTAAAGTTTCTTGGCTTCCTGTTTGCAAAATACTTTAGAACTTAGTATATTGTCAGTATGCCTCAGTACTTGCATGAATTAACTCCCATGCAATTGTGCCAATCAAGATGGCTGAAGATGTTGGCACTGTCAATGGCCAGGTGGATATTGTATCACTGGACGAGAGGTGAATATACATGGCCTTTAGTTCTGTTTTAAGTACTCCTGTCCACTGCACTCTGTATGTGGGAAGCTCAGTGGTCAGGAGTATGCAATGTACAGCACAGTATACAAAGTGCAGTGGTCAGGAGTATGCAATACATGCCACATTATACAAGTTCAGCAGTCAGAAATCTGTAATGGACACTGTGCAGTACATACTCCTGACTGGCATACTCTAATTACTGTGCTGTATGTTAAATATCCATGACTTCTGTACCTTAAAAGTTGTACTGTATGCTACATACAGACTAGTTGCAGAAAAGCATATGTAAAAAAAAGCTTTTCTTTTTTTTAAAACAATTGCACTGAGATTATTTGTGACACTCTTGCTTGTGGAACAGGAATTGAAGCATATTTTCTGGGTACAAAGACTATGGCATATGTATGTGTGCAGTGTAAACAATGAGTGAGCTCAGGTTTTATTTAACCATGCCGTGTTGAGCTCCTGATCCACAGCTTCTTCCTGGTGTGGTCTGGGCAGAGGCCAGGAGTAACTGATATGGAAGCTGCAAAAACGGAGCCTTGGTAGCACTGCGGAAGCTACAGAATCTTGTTAGGAGAAAAAAAATATTGAGAAAAACCAAAAGAGAAAAAAAGTTGTTTGCTTCTCTCAAAGGAGAAAGAATACATCTATTCTCCTAAGGCCGCTAGTTAAAAGCTGAGGCTTTCTGGGAGTCCCCCAACACTGTAGCGGATGCACTTTTCACACTTGATGGGGGAACAAGACCTCCTCTTCTCTGGACAGTGGCCGGTGATATGCTAAACTTGGTTACACATTCAGGTCTCCACAGATGTAGGTTTGACTACTGTAGATCCTGATGTAGATGGTTGTAAGGATGCAATCTCGTACTGGAGATGAACCATCCCATGTTGGTGCATTATTTCAGCTCTTTCCGTCTTCAGTAGGTGCTCTTTTTCAATTTCTTGGAACTGTAAAATGAGATGATGGCACCTATAGGGGTGATCGGTTTCCAAAAGCTCTTGGGTGCTTTCCAAAGACAGACATTGGCACTCTTGCTGGACTCGCCTGCCATGGTACTCTCTTCCACCTCCTTCTCTATCAAAGCGCAGATGAGCTTATTCTTTGTTTTGCCAACCATATCGATCCCTTTTAGCTCACAGAGGTCAATCAGGGTTTCGAGGGACTGTCTCTTGTAGCAGGTTATCATTTCGAAGGTGGCTATCTCGAAGTGTTATCAAATAAAATATAGAAAAAAAAAATGGGTACGGCAACAACTGTTTGCAAGTACTGTATGCCACAACAACAAAATATGCACTGATCAGTTTTTGATGACTGGTTACTCCTCACAAGGAATTCTAGCCTTTAGCACAAGGTTTAATTACTTAACACAGGCACTAAATGCTGTTATCCCACTGCTGCCACCAAGTTTCACAGAAAGGTGGACCAAGGAGGGGAGGCACCAAGGGGGTATGGGTCGCGGGAAGGCTGGACGATGCTTGGGCTATCACCGTCCTTTGCATGTCCTCGGAGATCGGCCAGCAAGCTGGTAGATGGTCACGAGAACCACCAGAGTGCCTCCCAGTCCACAGACGCAACGGAAGCAGCCGTAAAGCACAACACGCACACACGAATCAACCAATCTAAGCTGCCACCACCCACAAGTTACAGGCTTGTGGGAAACCTTTTCCCGGACACTCCTAGTCCATGAATTGTGCACTCAAGCAGACTGACACACAGGCTTCACAAACCACATACACTGCTCTCACTAGCAAGTACAGGATAGCTAACCCAGGCACTATAACCTCTAGAGGAAGTACATCCACTCAATCTCCTGCATTACCACTGACCACCACTGGAGAGAGACTCGCCAAATCTAGCTGGCTAGACACGCAAAGGCAGAAGCAAATCTTGCATACAATCTAGTGTACTCTAATAGTTGTGTGGCAGCTTAAGTGGTTTTCTCATGCCCACTAAGATTCCCCAAACTATCCTCTGAACTAGAATCTTGGCATGGTTACTTCTTCCACTGCCTAGACACACATCAGACACCTAGATCCTGCCTGGCAATGACTTACAACCAAGCTTCTAGGCACTGATGATACCGATAATCAAATATACACATACAATAGACACACATATTTGTGCATTCTTTAGAGCAATCAAAAATCAGCTTATTAACTTTATATTTATTATCACTAGACAGGCATTGCATAGAAAGGCAACATGTAGACTATTACGATCATTTTCATTAGGTTAAACAGGTAGGGAATTTGAAAGCCTTTGAAGTTTATTATTACTTTGGATTAGGTGTGATTAATCTCCACAATGGAGACAGTCTGTCAGGTTTTTTTTGCCGTCATTAGCTGATTCAGTTGATTCATTGATGGTCTTAAGTTTACATATGCTGAATCAATTGCGTTTGCAGAGATTATGGATGAGCTCATATAAATGATGTTATAATTATTGATTATGTTATGCATTTATTGAATTATCTTCATTGTAATTAATAAGTATTTTATGTATTCATTTTTTTACAGAATAACTACAAACATGAAAAATCATAGTGTAGTTTTTTTTAAAACATTTTTACAATACATAAAAAATTAATATAGGGGTTCTGTTAGAACAAAGATCTCAAACTCAATTCACTTGGGGGCCACTGGACAAACTTTTATCTCCCATGGGGCCCGCTTGCTAATTGTCATAAAAGGTCATACTTATATGATGTAACTATATATGGTACCGGTGTTAATGTCTGTGTGGGTTTATAATGTCAGTATATGTGTTCGTGGTAGTTTCTTTATATGCAATGGCAGTATATTTTTGTGATGGTTTGTGTGTGTGTATTGTCAGGATGTATGTGAATTATGTTGGCATGCATGTTAATGTTTCTGAAGGTGTCATATTAGTATATATTCATGTGTATATGTGTGCAGTGTCAGTATATGTGCGTTATTTTGTTTGTTTTTTGTTTTTGTTTCCTACAGGCTTTCATCGTAATCATAGAGGACCAACAGATTCACACATTCACTCACACACAGAAATACACACAGAGAAATGCATACACATAGAAATATGCACACACATGGAAATACACACACACACAGAAATACACACAAACAGAAATATGCACGCATAGAAAAACACACACAGAAATGCACATACATAGAAATAATCACAAACAGAAATACGCACACATAGAAATATGTGCACACACAGCCCCACAAGCAGAAATGCACACACAAATACAGAACAATAAATATAATGAAACACAAAACAGAACGCCCACCCTGTGCAGTACTGATTTATTAGTATAAATTTGTTAAAAACAATACAGGCTACTGACAAGTGTAGCAGCATACAAGCTTGTCAACAGACACTGGGAATAAGAAGCTGTCAATACAAGGATTCGAAGTTCGTGTGCACATGGGTCATCCCCCCTCCTTTTACACTTTAGACTTTTCAGTTTTTTCAGCCTTTAAGAAATGTATATAAATTTATGTAATTGTATATGCTACATTTCCTTCTCAAGGACATATTTTTAGCTATGATTTACAATATTAATGATCATGGATATTATCATTTTGAATCCTTTTTTAGCCCATACATGAGATTTTATGGATTATTTATATAGAATAATGAAGGAGATCCTAGACTTCTAGGACCCGTCTATTATATGATCTATAATATGAAGTCTATTATCTATGGTTTTATATATAATTGTGTTTGCAATCTAATGTATAATTATGTGATACTTAATGGATGCCAACCACTGCACTCACAGCTGATGTCGGTGTCAGTGTTACTCTGATCGAAGACTGTAAGAGTCCGTATGGAATCCTTGTATTCACAGCTTCTTATTCCCCGAGTCTGTTGACAAGCTTGTACACTGTTACACTTGTGAGTAGCCTATATTGTTTTAAACAAATTTATACCAATAAAACAGTACTGCACAGGGTGGATTCTCTGTTTTGTGTTTCTTTACATGTATGGACAAGAGCTTTCCGATCTAAGGAGGAGCATCACTCCTGGTGCCAATCTATTTGAGAAGTGGAATAGAGAGTTGATCACTGTTAGCGCTGGGGGATTAACTTTGATTGCTATTGTTTGTGAACACACAGTAAAGCCCCATTCAACATGTAAGTTTAGGTACGATTAGGGATTCCTGTGTCCTGAATTGGCCTTTTCCTGCAGCTAAAATCCCAAATCTGCTGTTTACAAGTGGCAGCTGTCAACTATTCAAGTTAATGATTAGGTGACAGCTGCTGCATGTAAACGCTGACTCACATGTTTATGCATCGTATGTGATATGATTACATGTGGTTAGCAATCAAGCATTATCCCTGGATGCATCGATCATGCATACAGGGAGAGTGATTATTTTCTAACTGCATGTAATTATATCACATATGATGACATGCGGTGTTCCACCGGTCACCTGATCATTAAATTGAACGTGTGACAGCTGCTGCATGCGGCAGATTAGGGAATCCTATTTCAGAAAAAGGTAAGCTCCTGATGCACGGATCCCTAAAACGCACCTTAACTTACAGGTCTAAATGGGCCCCCAGACACACAGAAAAATACAACCCCCCCCCACCCCCCAACACACACACACAGAAATACACACATACACTTATACATAATAATACAACCCCCCGCCCGCACACACACACCTATAAAATAAAATAAAGAGCCCTGTCACCTGCTTACATTCTTCCAGGGAGGAGGAGGGGAGGCACAATCGCTGGTGATCCAGTGGTTCATTAGTAAGGTCTGCACCTTTTGGCTGGTGCAGACCTTAATAATCCATCCTTTTGGCCGGCGCTCAGTAAAGACTGTCAGAACAGTAAAGACTGTCAGAACGCTGGTCAAAAGGAACTGAGTGCCGACACTGACAGGAACAGCTATGTGATCTGCTTCTGACAGATGCAGACCAAGTAGCTGCACCCGCAAGTCAGGTAAGCAGTCCGTATTTTGAGACCCCTGTGTTAGAAATTCTAGGCAAAAGCAATATACATGGCAACCAAAAAGAAAAAAAAAAATCTGTTCCTATCCACATGATTTTGAATTAGACTCCCAAGTGTGTGAGCAATTCTTCAAGTTGCCTTCTGTAAATAATATTATTATAGGGGGAAATGTTTGTTTTACAGAGGGCACATCACTAGTTTTGGTCATTGTATACAGAAGTGTGGACATGCACAGAACTGAATGCAATGGCACACATGTGGTACAATAATTCGGCTTTCAGCGCGGCTCAGCCGAGCCGAGGCATATGCGTTCGGCTCGACTGAGCCGCTCGGCCACGTTCGGGAGCTGTACGGGCTATAGTGAATAGCCCGTACAGCAGCCCTTCGGTTCTACTGAACCAAAGGGGTCCTGGGGCCGAAGCTAGCTGAAGGATTGGCCGAAGCTACGGCTAGATCCTTCGGCAGCTTTGTGAATAGACCCCATAGTGTGCTCCTTACCTCCTCTTTGACAACAAAGTGAGGGAAATGTATCAAAACTGGGGCAGAGAAAATGTGAAGTAGCTGTGGACAGCACCCAATCAGCTTCTCTCTTTCATTTTCAAATCTTAACTGAACAAAATAGAGAGAAGCTGACTGGTTGCCATGGGCAACTGCTCCATATTCTGCCTGTCCAGTATTGATAACCCCCCCTCAGTGTATTTTTTGTGAGCTCTGCCTATTTTATTTCTCATGGATTACAAAAACACAGAATATAGACCTCTCTTCATCCTTTCCTCCCCTCATCTCCATAACTTGCAGAGAGAGAGAGAGAGAGAGAGAGAGAGAGAGAGAGAGCACAGGATTATATTACCTTACAACATATCTGGCAAAATCCACAAGTACTTTTTTAACTTGGCAAATAGAATGACAAAAAAATGTTGAATGGTATACTGTAGTTAGCAGAACAAACTTAAACAAATAAGAAGTTCATTGTTAGGGTTTGCATACACTTTAAGTACTGAGCTGCTTATATTCCTTCATTTAGCCCTGTTAATGTACAGTCAGTAGTTACTGTATATTGCAAGGAAAAGGAAATTGCCTATTATCTAACAGCAAATGTTAGATGTTAGTAATATATTATCGTCCCCAAAATGCTATTCTGTGCTAACATTATTCATTTAGCAAAGCAGCACAACCTTTAAACATTCAAAAGGATAATTTTTCTTTGCTGCTACCAATACTAAAATGTCATTTTTGGGAAATAATATTGGATAAACGGCCATAGTGTAGCCCAGCAAGCATTTTTCAGTACTACTTTATCATCTTATGGCTTTCATCTAACTGCTTTACTCCTTTATTTATGTCATTATCTTTGTACCGCCATGTGTCCTAATGTCTTCCTTTTTAATTTATTTGCCCTGTAATGTAGCTCCTGTACCGTCAAATATAAGCAAACACGTACTCTAAGAAGCTCTTATATGGCTAAGATTGATTAGGACTCTGCCTGGAAACTACTGGTCTATGTATTAAATTGTATTTCAAGTCAAAAACATATGCCATTGACTTGCAAATAGCTAAAGGTGGATGGAGGAGCTTTCACTTCCCTACTAAGGATTTCAGTGAGAAACAAGGAAGTGGTGAGCTGCCATGGAGCAAATTTTCAATACATTGAGGGGAATGTTTTAAAACACTGGTTGCCATGAGCAACTGCTCCAGATTCTGCCTGTTCCAGTTTTAGTAAATTCCACCCATTGCATGTTAAATCTAGAACATTTAAAATATTTTTTCGTTAATGTGTGTGATTTCATTTTTTATATCTTTCATACACACATACTGTATACTGATAAATGTTAAAGCAGACTTCTTTAGCAGCCCAGGGAGGAGGTGGAAACCTATTGCCAAATTTTAGAAGAATGCTATGTTGCACATTAACCAGCTCCTATTCCACCCCCCAGGCTAGCATGTCTACTGTGCATCAGATCTTTTGCGGGCCTGTCCCAAAACAACTTTACCAATGTTAAAATGCTCGTAATCAGCATGAAAAAGGGTGGTATGTTCAATAACAAGTTTACAGAACCTTTTTTTAAAATATTATATGTATTACTTGATTTTTGGAGTACAAATATAAAGTAAAACAGTCATGGTTAGGAAGCATTACAATCAAAATGTTCTTACAGCATGAATGTAAATTGGGCAACATCAGGTGTCTGCATACATGTTCCATCCGCTTTTCAAACACCACGGATCTCAGCTGCCTTCCCATCCACACCAAACTTCTTAAGTTACATAGTTACATAGTATTTGAGGTTGAATAAAGACATTAGTCCATCAAGTCCAACCTATTAGGATCTCATTCTAGGAGTACCCGTACCCCTGTATATTACGGTCCCTTAAGAAATCGTCCAAAAGTTTCTTGAACAATTCCACATTTTTTGCTGAAATCACCGCCTGTGGCAGTGAGTTCCAGACCCTAACTGATCTTACTGTGAAGAACCCCCTTTGCCCCTTGAAAGTATGATGGGTTTAGTTGCAGAAGGGGGAAGGCCAGCCCTTGACAGAAGCAAAGTTGGTAATAGCAAATCAGAGTGCTCTATGTTGGAGTACCGGTGTTTCAGAGAACTAAAGCACTTGGAAACATATTTGAAGGCACAAGTGGACATCTAAGGGTTCCTGCTTAAAATGAATGCTGCAGTTTCACAATATTTTGAGTGGAAAAGTTCACTTAAAAGTGTAGATAAACCTACAAGTAAAAAATCATAAAATAGCAGTTTAACTTTAGCATGTTGGGGCATGGTAATTGTTTTCTTTTCTTCTTTTTGCCTGGTTACCCTGCCTGTAAGTAACTTCCTTTTCTAGTGTGACAATGTCCACCACTGTACATGTAAGAAGAAGCAGCTCTGTCACCCTAAACTGCATGCCCCTGAGTTGGTCTACAGGCTGACTCGCTGACATTCGTGCATTCATAGACTAAGCCGAAGAAGAAATTGGCTCCACGTCATCATTATGGGCCAGGCACCCTACGTAGGATGCAGGCACATGAAGAGGAAGCCACAGAGAGAAGAGCACATGGATTTCAAGGAACAAAAAAGGCAAGTAAAAAAAAAAATCAGGCAGGTAAATATTTATTTAACCTCTTGCCGTCCGCCCGTGGTAAAAAAACGGACGGACGGCACTGCTACATCTGCGGGTTGCCGGCAAAAAATTGACGGCAATTTTTTTCTGCTCGCGCGCGCCCCCTAGCGGGCACGCACGGGCAGAAAAGACCCGACCGTTGCACACACCCGTTACCGGGTGTTTCACATATAGCAGCAATACCACCAAAAGAAAGCTCTATCTGTCCCCAAAAAAATTCATTTCAGTACAGCGCTGCATGACGGAATAAATGTCAGTCAAAGTACCGCAGCACTGAACACTGAAAAATGGCCTGGATGGGAAGGGGGTTTAACACCGCGGATGTCAACTGGTTAATAGACCTTAGTTTTTTTTTCCTAGGGTTGAGCATGTTTGAGTATGTAATACAGGGGCTGTATTTCTTTGTGAGCAAGAAGTAGGAAAATGACTTACTGTTGAGTCACTAAGTTGCTTTGTTATCTGGACCCTGTTGTGAGGTGACACCACATGTCATGCTGTGTGACAGGGATCTGCAAAGATAACAGAGAAAGAAATATAATTAGCACCCATCTCTATACCACTAGGTTATCTGCTATTTCAGCAACCATCAGTTTCTTATTTACGATAACAGTGTACATCTTTCCTACAGTATATTCTGGTTTACAGCTGTAAGTAAAAAAGTGTTAAAACCAGTTTGGCGTATAAATCACTTTAGGAATTTTATTTTCAACTCAGCAGTTACTATGTATTCTTAGCTAGTCAAATTACTGCAAAAACTGTATAATCTGAAATATTCAATAATTCAGTATCATTTCTGATTATTGTCCAACAATGCGTATAACAAGATACTTCATCATTAAATATGGTTTGATGCTGCACAGTTCAGTCCTGTTTAGGGATTCTTTCTTATGAACCACTTGATTATTCTGGTGAAGGTTTACATATTTTATGATTTTATTTTTTTTTTTTGTTTCTTTATCTTGGATTTTGAAATTCACATAGCAAGAGTTCTGTAAAGCTGGCTCGGAGCCCAATCTTACAAATCTCATTTAAAAAAGCATTGTGTAAGGATTCAAACAAAAATGCCTTGAATCTCATTAAAGTTGTAGTATAGCTGCTAGTTATTATAAAACTCAACATAGCTGAACATGCAAAAAGAGCAAAACAAGGCACAAAAATACATTAGATATAAATTATCCAACAACACTGTTATTTTTTAATGCAGCTGCCTCAACAAGCCAAACAATTCCTTATATATTAGAAAGCAGTAGGAAGTAATTCATGGCTTACATTTTCTTTTATTGCATGGTACAAACAGGCTACATCATTTGTGTTTAAAGTCAGTAATAGTAAATAGTATTAGAACTATTCGCTACACAATGGAACACACACTGTGATCTGTTAAGTACTGTTTGGTATGCATTGTGTTTTGATGTAATGTACTTGTGAACCCCAGTACTCCATATTAAAAGTACACTCCATTCAAAGTTGAAAGTTATACTTCGACAAGCATTCAGGGAGCACAGGTTACAGGCTGAGTAGTTCAGTTTTCAACCAAACATTGCATTACTGCACCATTCCACTACTTCCCCTATTGACTGTAATCCATCGGTTCTAGGATTTCCACAGAACTCAATTTAGGGTGAATTAAGTAAACTTTCTGACTTTAGGATTCACTTTGCTTACTGAATAGCACTAGTAGCTTCCTAATTGATTGATTCCTGATTGATTTCTTCTTATTTCTTGTTCCCTAGAAGTGTTCTTTAAGCAGAACTCTCTAGTCCCACATAGTTACATGTATGAAAGTGTGAGCAGAGTTCCCTATACCAGTAGCAAATAAATATGCTAAATCAAAGATGTAAACTTAAAGCTACTATGTAATTGTCCTACTGGGATAGATAAATGAAAAGTAACAGAAGTCCTACCATACTTAAATTGCCTGAAAAAATGTTGCTTTAATGTAAGTAGCCATACCTGACGGAGGGCTGCTGGGGATGCTAAAAAAAAAATCACTTTTTTAATTCACAGCCACATGCAGCTCCTGCAGCCTTGCCTCTCCACACTGAGCACAGGGCATCACTTGCTGGGCACCGCTGCCACTGAAAGAACGCTTTGTATTTTTTTCAATGAATAGAAAGGGTTCTCTAAATGGAAAAGAGGGGCAGATGCCGTCACAATCTACACCTCACCCAATCAGAGAATCCATTGTATTGGTTGCCCATGGCAACCAATCAGCATCTATCTTTGGTTTGTTCAGATAAGATTTGAAAATGAGACAGAGAAGCTAATTGGTTACAGTGCAAATCTGCTCCAGTTTTGATAAATTCCCCCCAAAGTGTCTGCAAAGATGCTACAGGAGATCCCCAGAGATACATAAAAAAAAAAGTGAAAAAGATTTTTTCATTTAAAAATTGAATTGTTTACTATAAACAGTGCTTCAGAAAGCTAAAATCTACATCTCCTTTAACTGCAAACTCACTTCACTTCGGGTGGGTTATTCAAACCGTTGCCTTCGGCAGCATTGTGAATAACCCTCAAAGTATTTTGTCCCACCCAGAAGCACAGTAAAAAGCCTGAAGCATCTGTTTCCAATAAGCTATATACAATTACAATCAAAATTATAATGAGAATAATTTTATGTGCGTTTATTAATACTTTGTAATAAGGAAAATGGCAAACCTTTCATCAGTGTACAGTACTCATAATTGAAAAAAATGACAGTTAAATCTTTTTCCATTCATTATCTGACGCTGCAGACTAACGCTGACCAGTGGTAAGCATCTTTTCATATTAATTGGCTTTATTTATTTCATTCTATTAGCTTTTTGACAACTGCTAACCATTTAAGCAGCAATTATGTGCAGACTGCCATTCAATTACAGATGTTTGTTGTGGAGCAGAAGTGTCACGTGTTCTCATGACCTTTATTAAATTGCTCCTGAGGGACAGACCTAAGATCAGGGGAGACATATCACTGTAAAAGAATGTTCTCTGCTACTATTATTAATTGCTTTGAATTCCCTAATTAATCTTTTGCATTAATTACTTCATTAACAAAAGCTTTGGTCAGACCACCGTGTGTCTGATAACGGTACAAAGCCTGACTATAAATTACATTTCTTTATAAGCAAAGTCGTTTTGCCCATTGGAATGCATTGCTAGATTCCTATTGGCTATTTCAATTTGCAATAGCCAATGTACCCGCCCTCTGCTGCAGTTCTCCATCAGGTCCATCAGCAGAGGGCGGGCACAATGCTAGTTTACTATTGGCTATTGCAAATTGAAATAGCCAATAGGAATGTAGCAATGCATTTCAATGGGAAAAATTATTAATATTTTTATTTTCTATTCTGATATGGCTCCGTGTCGGAATAAAGAAAAAAAAAAGATAAATCAGTGTTTCTCTCCTGGGCGGCCGGGAGCGGGAGGCTCCCAGAGCACCCGGGAGAGTTTTTTTTTTACGGCAGCAGAGCCGCCGGACAATAGGAAACTATTGGGCGGAGCTAGCTGTCACTGCTAGCTCCGCACAATCGTTTTCTATTTACTTTTTTTAAACTTTTAAAACTATTTTTCTGTTCTGCAGGCCGAACATGCCGAGCATGTTCGGCCGACCCAAAGCCATGTGAAGCAAGCCGATGTGAAATCAGCCGTACCAGCCTGAAGTGAATAGCCGAACAGTGTTCGGCTCACTTCAGGTCGGTCATTCACTCAGCTGCCTACGGCAGAAGCTAAAGAGTGTGAATGTCCCCCTCAAGGGATGCCTGCTGCTGTCAGAATACCCAGTGACTGAAGCTGACTGGCTGCAGTCACTGTTCAGCCAATATTTTCAGCCCAGCTCTTTTGACAGAAGTCAATTAGGTAACTGACTGTTGTCAATCCAGCAGGGCTACCCACTGTCAAAATTGTAACTGATCCCTGTGAATCCAGGTAACCAGGGATGCCGTCATTACACACTGAGAACCCGGCCGGGCCGCTATGATATCACAGCTGCCTCTCCGGGTTCTAAGTGTGTAATGACAGATGGCATCCCTCGTTAGCTGGTAACCAGGGACGCCATCTGTCATTACTCTCCTGGACGCTCTGAGAGTCTAATATGGCACCCAGCCGCCCAGGAGAGAAACACTTTCTCTCAGAAAGGGTACAACTTTCCTTCCGATCTGTTTTTTTCTCTGACTAGGGGCCGCTGGCCCCATGAAAAAAAACAAACACCATAGGAATGCATAGCTAGATTCCTATTGGCTATTTAACTTTGCAATAGCAAACTAGCTATTGCACAAGCCCACTGCTGCTGTCAATCAGCAGAGGGGGACCTGCAGTTCTCCATCAGGTCCCCCTCTGGTGATTGACAGCAGCAGAGGGCGGGTGCAATAGTTAGTTTGCTATTGGCTATTGCAAAGTTAAATAGCCAATAGGAATCTAGCTATGCATTCCTATGGTGTGTTTTTGTTTTTTTTATTCTGACGGCAGCAGAACTGATAGATAGATAGATAGATAGATAGATAGATAGATAGATAGATAGATAGATAGATAGATAGATAGATAGATAGATATTTTACATACACTTTAACTAGGCTAAGCTTAGAAATGATGACAGAGTTAAGCTACATTTGCCAAAAAAAGGTCATTGTGATCTTTTCTGAAAATGTTACTTATAGCAGACTAAAAGATGAACTTGCACTTTAATGTGTTTTAATGATGGGTTAATTCAGTGACAAGCTGAATTGCTACACTGCAAAAATTCTGTGTTCAACAGCATTAAAAGAGAATCTTAATGAAAATCTACTCTGTCATGCTTAAAT